GGGGGGGGGGCACCGGCAAAGAACTCAATTCTTCTCCGATAACCTGGTCATTGACTAAACTCCCTTAAAGCTTAAAAGTAGATCGCTGCTCATTCAGCATTCAATATCTTAAAAAAAGGGGAAAAGAATAACATGAATGCTCGCGGAGAAGCATTTTATCCCTCATTTGACAAGCATTGTCTGATGGAATCCATTTATAATGCTCCCCAGAATAGCAGAATGAGAAGCCACAATAGTGAGAAAACTAGTTAATATAAACAGCAGTCGATAATATAAACTGCACTTACAGGGGAATACTTTCCAAGCAATGCCACGAGGTCCTCATCTATTCCCAGCCTGTGTTACACAAGAAACACATCAAATTTTTGAATTCGCAGATAATTTACGAACCATAGACGATTAAAATGATGAACACGGATATCCAAATAATATTTCTCTTTAACAACTACTCTCACACCCCACTTGTGGGACTACACTGTGTATGTCGTTGTTGTAACCACTAGCTCTCACGAGTAACTTCGCATTCTAGTGTACTATATTTTGAGAATGCGGCAGAAGAAAATAGGCAATGGACCTTTGCTCAATCAGGCAGATTCAAGATAGTTATGGGAAATTCCTCGTTATTAAACTAGTTAATACAAGCTAATAAAAAGTGTAAAAACTCAAAGCAGATCAGGAAAATAGAAAAACATAGGTCAGATCTCAGCCAATTACAGGGCCATTTGTGGTGGTGAAAGTCGAAATAGTAGTGAAAACGAGGGGAACTCGCACGAAGGGCAGTGATTTAACTATAAGAGAAAGTTCTAATGATCTCGAGGTAATTCAAAAATACAGGCATTTGTGGGTTCAATGCGAAAATTGTTATGGGTTAAATTATAAGAAATTTTCGAAATAAAAAATGAACATTTGTGAACAATGTGGAAATCATTTGAAATGAGTAGTTCAGATAGAATTGAACTTTTGAACAATGTGGATATCGCAGCTTTCCTTCTTTTTCTTTTTCATTTTTCACAAGACATTGGGACAGTTATTGGCCTAAACGACCTAGTTGTCTATGTCATTGGTATGAGGCATATTTCAAACATCAAAGAGTCTTTCATTAAACAATTGTGTCAACTGCTATTGCAGCTCTATAATGACAGTACATAGAAAAGTACTGGGACTTACTTTTTGCCTTCAACATCAACTCCATGGACCAGAAATTCATCAGCATAGTCTGCAAGAAAATTCAGAACTTTCTCATTGAGACTCACATCAGTAAACTTCTGCCATCTGTCTGTGACAATTACGTATTCGTCCTCCTGCATGTTCTTTCAAGTCATTGGATCTATCATAGCAGAAAGAAAGGAGAGCAGTAACTGAGTCTAGTTTTACAAATTTAATCATCTATTCATGCCCTGAGACAGTCGCCGACAAGAATCTCCTCTACATTAATATGAAGAACTCTGTCTGTCTAGGAGCCACAAAAAATGGATACCTTTTTATCTTTTATTGTTTATCAAACATTAATTTCATTTAAAAAGTGAATACCTTTTTACGGCAACTAAGATCCAGAACAAGCCTCTTTCTTCCAACGAGAGAAGCAAGTTCCTTAAGTCTCTCAAAGTCCATTTGCCCATTGTTAAAGACATACTGCAATGTAGACAATAAGTATCAGATAGAGAGGATCTGGTAATATAACAATATTGAGAGGGCTTCCAAAGCAAATCATCTGTCATTTGGAAAACAAAAGAAACATAACCAATCACAATTTAAGACTATTTTCGTTTTCTGTATAAAAAAATTGAGGCGTGCCATGATTTTTTTTTTAAAACATTGGGAGAAGAGATTTTGAGGAGTTTAACAACTTTGAGAGAACCCAATTCCTATGCTAACTTTAATGCCTATTCTGAAACCTTCAGTTCATCTTGAAAGCCCTGAATTTATTTGTTGTTTCCAGCACCTTGCTGCTGCACCAGTTAAGATCAATTTTGTTCTGAGCATGTCTTTGGGAATTTTATCTAGCTTGTTAGTAGGCACTATGCAACATGTTTTGCTAATAACAATACTTCTTCTGTGCTGTTCAAATTGTTCTCTCATCAACTAGTTGCTTGGTTTATTGAATTAGGTACTTCTATTAAGAAACTGTAATCATACTTCAATATCAAGCAGAATTTGTTTTATGCAACTGTTAGCCATATTCCCATGTTTCCTACCCAGCTTATAACTTCCTCTCTTTTACTTCTACAACTATGTACTGTTCAAACAGTATTCTGCAGGCTAAACCGCCTTTGAAGTGTATTGACGTGTCAATAAATTCATTATTGGCTCTTCCTTCAATCAAGTTGCTTTCAGCCAATAGAAATGATTAATCTTAGATCCCTAGTAAGCTTAATATTTTAGAGCCGAAGGCAAGATCCTGCAGCTTTTTTTATCTACTTTAAGTGCATATAGCCATATACTCATGCTGATTCAGATTACGACAGAGTCCACTCACTCTCTCACCTCTCACCTCTCACCTGACGCCACCAGCAAACTGAGAAGAGTGGACTTTTTAGTTAATTATGATAAAGAGCAGAAAGATGGGAAAGGATTGGCAGCTTCACTTTCTCTGTAGAAGGCAACGGTTCAACTTAAAACTTGTTGCTCTCCTTGCGGGCCCATGATTGTTGTACACAAAATAATTAAATAATATAAGGAGGCAGGATAGGAAGGTGCGGAGGTCGAGGATTGAGGTGGTAGGTTGATAGGTAGTTGTGAGTTTCTTCTAGGTTTACCAGTAGTACTAGTACTATTCTTGTATTCTCTTATTCCTGGTTCTTTACTACTTGTTATGTCATTCGCTTCCATTACTTTATACATTACTGTTGCTATTGCTTGTTGCTTTATTTTTACTGTTCTTTAAGCCGAGGGTCTATCGGAAGCAGCCTCTCTGCCTTTATAGGGTAGGGGTAAGGTTGCGTACACACTACCTTCCCCGGACCCCACGTATGGGATTAAGCTGGGTTTGTTGTTGTTGTTGTAATATTAGGAGGCATGAATCAATTTAAACTAAGTGTATAGCAGGCGCATTAGCTGCTTCTATTCTCATGAAATGAGCAATCAATCAATCCCCTATATCGTTCCACTTTATCTAGGTCCTATTTGTCTTTAAGGCAAATTAGGGGTTTCAACACTAGTACAAAATCAAATATATATATATATATATATATATA